CACGCACACACACACATACAAACTATATCTTTCTCTCTCTCACACACACACACACACACAGACACACACACACAGACACACACACACTCACTCACTCACACACACACACACACACACACACACACAAACACACTTTATATTTATATAGAAACATGTACTCAAAGTGTCTACTGCAGTCGTTGCAGGTGGGATGTCCGCGTGAGAGAGATAGGTCGGGGGTATGCTCTCCTCAATCCCACATTTTGTGGAAGATAATCAGCATTTGATATCTTCACTGTAGTGTCCAGATCTGAGATACGAGGAACGTTGCCTTTCTCTTCGATAAGCAATCTTTAATTACTAATACTAGCGATTAAACGAATCGTTAGTTATTATTTATTTTTTGCTGGGTGCCCTTACAGGAGACGTTTTTGGAAGAATGTCGCCAGTACTAAAGAAGTCACCCTTTGCAGGTGTACATCTGCATAAAAATGGCGTGAAACGTTTCTGCTCTTATTCTTTGATTTTGTAACGGTGCGTGATGATTTGTGAACGCGCGCGCGAGCGCGCACACACACGCACACACTTGCACACAAACACACATACATACATTGGAGACTTATTGATTCTTTCATGGTAGTGAAACATGATGTTTAAATAGTAGATGTGAGGGGTTATAGCTATATATAGAACCACCAAAGGGTTCTTTGGTCGGACACTTTTCCTTTGGTGTTTGTGGTGTGAAGGTAAATGTATGAGAACTTGTTCAGCCTCATGTATTAATAATTGATCCTCTTTTATATTATATTGCTGGTGGTCTTTTTAAGGAGGGGGAAGGGGGGGGGGGCTTTCTATAATCAGGGTTCTACGCTAAACTGTTAATAATATGCGTGCCCGCACGCACGCAGGCACACACGCACGCGCACTCACACGCTCGCACACATAACGTACAACCTACCTTCGCACCTGCATGATAGACACACAGCCGGACGGACCCTGCACGCCCGCTTGTACACACACTTTGACAGGCATACTCGTGTGTACATACAATGACAAACAATAGCCCTTTTATGCGCGAGCACTCTCTCTCTCTCTCTCTCTCTCTCTCTCTCTCTCTCTCTCTCTCTCTCTA